CCCCTCTAGAGTTGCAGCTACTTGGTTCTGTCAAACATAAAGGGCCAGCCACTGAAAGGCATGCTGGGAAAAAAGTTCTTATAGGAGGACAGTGTCAAACAGAGTTAGTAGGACCAGGAAGCCTGCTTTAAGGATAGCACCAGTGTATTACATACATTATGAGGAATAGATGTTTGCAAAGCACTTTGAGTATACGGCTTAATCCTCAGTATGCAGAATGCCAAATTACAAACTAACTCTGAAAAACGGGGACAAGGGTACTTCATAGGGCCTAAAAACTTCAGGTGAGGATGTTCATGACTTGGTCCCCTTTGCACTGCATGTTGGATTACGTTCAAGGAATAACTGTATTGGAACCAGGTCCCTGGAACCGTTTATTTTACAGTACAGTTGCAATTTACAGTTTGGTGTGCTGCTCTAATAAAAAGACAAACATGTGACTTGCTAATTACTAGTGCCCATTCAATTACTTCCTCAAGGAGTTGGGTTTGGTCTCTGTCACTATGTTTACACTGGTCCCATCCAGGTATGCACTCACGTGCCTAGCTCCTCCTGCTCCCAAGGACATACACCGGACCCTCGCTAGAACGTGCAACTATATAGCGCGAATTCGCATATACCGCTGTTACAGTCATGGATCCCAAATGTAATTACTTTAACCGCAATTCATTTTAACGCGGTCCCTGCGTTAACGCAGTACCGCGCATGGATCCCAAATCCTGCATTCTGGCGAGGGTCCGGTGTACTTCTATTTTTAGCATGCTAGCTCAATCAGAGCTAGTGCGGGACGCGTCTCCACAAGTTGGAATTTCCACCTTCGGTGCAGACATACCTGCTGACTAATTAAAGGATCAGAGGGTAATTAAAAGGGGGCTTGACAGAAGTGCAATACCAGAAGCCCAGCTCCACCATGATCATGAGTCAACAAACAAGAAAGGCTGACCTACGATGCCCCAGCCTCCCAAGGGTGTTCCTATAGCCAAAAAATCTCCCGGGATAAGAGACAGAACTTGCCCTAGAAAGTGCTTAATCCAAACTGGTGCCCATTTATAATTTTAGATTTTGTTTGTTTTAAATACTACCAAGAAATTAACTGTTCAAATGTAGCAGTTACAGAAAACACCACATCATTTTAAAATATGCTGACATCTATGATAGGAATCCTACTTTACCAGGTAGCTGCATTAGGGTCTACATTGTTTGCTCTTAATTGATTCAATATGTATTTGGGCTACAATTGTTAAGTAATTGTATTTTAGGCAATTAATGAAAGTAGCAGCCCCATGGAGGCATTGATACAAATACAGTGAGACAATTTTTTTTTTCCTGATACAGCTTTTTGTGGAGACTGGCCCTTCAAAGAATCACATGGTCTAATCTGTAGGCTATAACACCACCACTTTTCTTTTTAATAGAAATAAAAAAAAAAAACCCCACAGTTCATACAAAAATAGTCATTAGGTTTTCATCAAAAAACTTAAGTAAACCTTTCTGTATTCAAGTACATTGGGACATCAGCTTAACATGCCTCATTGGGCCTTTATAATACAGATCTGGGTCTGATTTTCAGAGGTGCTGAGTACATGCCATTTCCAGTATAATTAAATGTGGTAGTGGGTGCTCAGTATTTTGAAAATCAGGGCTATATTTGCATGATTCTTCCACATCAGTGGGGCTTGTTTGGTTAGTTCATAGTACAACCTTGCCATTAGTGTGTGGTTTTTGAAGGAGGATGTATATTTCACAAACAAGCTAGATTCAAGTTCTAAAGGCAGGTGTCCTAAAATTCAAATAGAAACAAAAGTTCTTAAGACCACCACTAAATAGCAGCACTGGACACGAATATGTACAGTCCTCCCTCTGGCAAGGAACTCCTCTGTACTTTTTGCCTAAAGCATTCAAGTGCCAGTGGTCACACCCCACTCTGAACACTCGTCTGTAAACGTCTGTCTCCATCTGTGCCTTTAGATTGTAGGTCCTCTGAGGAAGGGACTTGGTATGTCTGGCAACAACCTTCCACTGTGTACTATTTGATAAACTAGTCCCCTCTCTTGTTGAGCATTGTGCTCTTAAGTCTGCCCCTCTACAGTGGAGTGGCATGGATGTAACTGGAGGTCAGAATTTAATTCCATTTGATTTAGAAAGTTATTTTCCCCCTCGCCTAAGGTGCATTTGACCTTGATTTAAGGCTCTAACCACAGGGCAGATTAGAGGGACACCAACTTGAAAGTCACAATTTTCTGTCTATTTTACAGTTACTATTATCTACTTTTAACACTCAAGTACTATAACAGAGAAGTTAATGGAAAATGTCCCATCTCTCTCCCCTGACCTTGTTCAGTCTGGTTTTGAAGTCAATTTAAACAGCTGCAAGTTTTGAATGAAAAGCCACCCTAGTAACCAGGAAAGCAAAAGCACCTACTTTACCACAAAAAAAAAAAAAAAAAACAACCCCAAGCATTTCAAAAGGTTTAGAAACTTACTATTTAAAAGAGAACTGGATAAATTCATGGAGGTTAAGTCCATTAATGGCTATTAGCCAGGATGGGTAAGGAATGGTGTCCCTAGACTCTGTCAGAGGGTGGAGATGGATGGCAGAAGAGAGATCACTTGATCATTACCTGTTAGGTTCATTCCCTCTGGGGAACCTGGCATTGGCCACTGTCGGTAGACAGGATACTGGGCTAGATGGACCTTTAGTCTGACCCAGTACGGCTGTTCTTATGTGAAAGTGTGCTCTACCAGCCCTTAATTTTTCCTGCAGTTATGCACTTTCAAAAAATTCAAGGTGATAGCACCTAAAATGTAACAAAAGCCAAGGGGAAGAAAAAAAAAGTTAGGTTCATTCACTCCATGCTATTTATCCATACAGAAATTAACTGTAAGTAGTATCATTACTGTCAAAACACACCTGAAGCATAGAAATCTACTGAGTTACAAGACCCTCATATAAGCAGTTCAGTTTTATATCATCCCAAAGCACAATATATCCTAGGACTTTCCAGGATGGTATTAGGATTTGGAATAGTTAGTAATGCATACAGCAAGACTGTAACCAAGTGCGGCAACTCACTAGACTCAGTGTGGCTGAATCAATGTCTTATCTGGGCACTTCTTGGTAGTGTCAGCAGGCAGTTCTTTTGGTTGCTCAGATGACTTTAAGCTGTTTGATTTACATTGAATTAATATGCAGACATCCACAGGTGGTGATGGATACATTTCTGCACTTTAGGATGCCAAGTGACCAGCAAAGGTAGTATTACAGCTCTTGAAGGATACCCACCAGTCCAATGTACGTGTACTGTCAATTGTGGATTTCCATTAGGAACTCCCATCAGAAGGATCTTGGAATAGGAAAGTGGGTAGGGGAAGTAACTACTTTTTTGGTGATGCACACCTATTTGTACTTTTAGTTCTAAGTTGCGTCCATGAGACTGAAGCCAGTTTAACACCTCTTCCTCTGCATTAAATGCAAGCCCTAAATGTTTAGGTTTGAAATGCTAGTGGCACAGGTGCAGTGCTTCAGCATAGACATTACCGCTGCCCCCAGGAGGGTTTCCCCACCAGGATAGGTAATTCCCATTGCCCAGAGCTTGTAGCCACCTCAACAGAATTCCTCTCTTAACCTAGCACCGTCTACAGGAGGGGTCAGGTTGAACTAACTACATTGCTCAGGTGGTGCGGATTTCCCTCTCGCGCCTCCCCCCACCCCCCATGCACACCCACCCACACACCTTTGAGCAATGTACCTGGTTCAACCTAGCTTTTTAGCATAACGCAGGTCTCAGTCACAATTCAGTCACTACAAGAGACTGTAAGTGATCCAATTGCAACTGAGGCTATTTAAAAAAAAAGTGGTAAATGTTTATGAGACACGACCGCTTGCACTGTTCTATAAAGCATTTACTAGAATATTTCAATTAACAGCATTTTATCGGTCAACCTGAGTGACATTTTATTCACATCACAAGCATTACACACGGGTCTAAACTGTAGATCTGCAATTTGGATTGCATAAGCAATGCAAACAGGCTAATTTACCATAACTCATTATACTTTTGTAAACTTGCCACCTATGGTGATTTATGTTTCACCACAATTAATGCAAGATATTCCACCTCCATCTCTCTAGTTGTGAAGTACACTCTCTACTCTCCTCTGTGGACAGAGCAAAGAAGGAATATAGATAGCAAGTAGCGAAGGGATGCTAGTTTTATTCTTTCAAAAATGAAAGATTTTTGGTGCTCAGAAGAATCCGATTAGTACCACTAGCTAAATTAAGTCGTTACTTTTCTTTTATAAAAGGACATCAAAATATCCCACATGTCAGTGGACACAATAGGTCTAGATATTCACAGAGGGGTAATTACAGAACCTCAACCCACCTCCCCGGATCCCATTCACATATGTAGTTAAAGAAAGGCAAGTGTATTGGATGCCTGTGCCACCACTTCTAGTTCAGAGAGAAATTAGGCGATTGTCTAGTATTTCTCCTGCCAACAAGTAGAATGCTAGAAAAAACCACAAGTCTGAAACAGTTTAACACAGGACAAAAAAGGCACATTTTAATATGTACAGCAATGCATTTGGGCTATAAATGTACCCAACACAACTGAAAAAAAAAATCCAATTTAACGTATGCTTTTATAATTGTTCAGTTGAATCAGCCTCATTCCTAGCCACCTACCTTTCTGCATCTCTGAATGCTGCTATATACACACACAATTAGTCATGAATGTTCATTTAGGCTCCCATGTTCAAGTAATAAAATTCAAACTTGCATAGCATCTTACGCCACTCAGCCATAAACAGGTAAGATTGCATATTAGCTTGAGTAGCCATCTCTTTCAATTCAGCCAGTTTTCGCTAGCCACCATTTTTATCCTGGAGACAGAATGTTTCTTAAGTTACCCACCCTGAGGGATGCCACAAACTTCAAAATGAACTTTTTGCTGTTAAGGTACTTTTCAACCAGAAATTTAGAATGTTGTCAAGAACAGTTTTAAAAACGTAATACTGTTTATTTTGCTTCAAAAAACATTTCAGCATTCTAAACATACAAAAAAAACCAACATAACGTTGCAAATTTGTTTAAGTACAGAGTGTTTTTGAACTTCAATTGCTGCACTTGCTCTTCACTCCGTTGACGATGAAGAGAGGTCTACAGTTTCAGTTTAAAAAACTACCGCACTTAACTAAAAAAAACCATACACTTCTCATGCCAGCTGAACCCCCTTCCACAACTAAGAATGGCAGCAGAATGCTAATTTCACTATATACAGAAAGACAACTTTAAGCTAAATGGACGCCCACTGTAGTGTAAATAGATCTACCCTCACAGTGCATGCTTTGGGCCATGGCACCCTATGGAAGGTACAGCCTTCCAAAGTCATCACCCCTCCCTCAAGGCATCACAACTCTAAGCATGTACCACAAGAATTTGTCTAGTTTTTACAAACTATAGATATGTACAGTTTATAACCCAGGATTTTCTAGCCAATAACCATATAGTAACACCACCTTACAAATTAAAAAAATGCTTGAAACATTTTTAAATGCTTTGTTACACCAACAGCAAAGTGCACAGAGTGAGGAGAACACTAGAGCGCCTTTTCATTTTAAAAATGTTTGGAAATATGTACAACTTTGATACAGTTTCAGGGTGCTCACGACACCCATGGCCACTTCATGTAAACCAGTTACAATTTCTAGAGCACTTTTAGAAACTACAATGTGATCAGAATCCGAATTTTGTAATTAAGCCTAATGAGGGCAACAGCACCATCTCAAATAAGAGGTGCTTCATTTATGGTGTTTCCCCTACTCTATGGTATTCACATCAGACAAATATTGTACAGTTTTATTCATCATCCTCATCTTCTTCATCCTCCTCTTCATCATCCTCATCCTCTTCATCTTCTTCCTCTACCTTTTTCCGAGCAGCTTTGGCTGCTGCACCCTTTGCACCATCAAACTTTCCTTTAGACTTGTAGTCTGCAACATCCTGCAAAGTCAAGAGGATGTCTTAATTTGCTCGAAGCAATAAACGTACAAGCAAGCGTAGAGAGATACTAGCTTTCAGCAGCCTTCTCCCCAAGGGAAAGGCTGCTGGAGCTACCATTTATGGGCTTGTGGCTACCAAAGTGAACCTGAGTAGTCTACGCATTAGGTTTGCATCCTGGGTTCATAATTGGGGGGGGGGGGGGAAATAAGAAACACTCACTGTCAGAAGTTAGAAATGTTTATGTAATTTTATAGTGCATATAATAAAAAA